AAGCTTTAGAGAAAATATTAATTAAATTTTTGCAAATTCTCTCTTATGAGTAGATTCTTTTTTAATCAGAAAAAGGTATTTTTTTTTCTTTAAGCAATTCTATTTCCATGCTCTCATACTCTCAGTCCCTGTCCAAAGTTTCTAAAAATTCTTTAGGTCAAGTAATCCTATAAAAAATATAGGTAAATTGACTTAAAGTTATATTCATATTTTATTTGATCCCAGCATATGGCATGAAAAGAAAAGGATTTGTCAATCACATAGACAACACATTTTTTCCCCTGAGTTAAACAGGATCCTTATGAATTAGGGAAAATTTATATGGAACAAACATTATAAATGCTTACTTAAGATCTATTAATACGATGTGTAGTATGTCACCAATTCAAGGAAATTATTCAATTAAAAATATTTCTAAAGCAAATAAAGTAGCCTATTAATTGCTCCCCCAGTATGCCAATAAAAAAGTTTGCCACAGTTTTCCTAGGACTCAGTTTCTTGATTCTATTTTTACAAGAAGGAGCTGATTTGTCTTAAGCTATTACTGTCTATTACTTCTAGAAGTCTTGAGGAAAGGTGGGAAGCAGCAAATTCTGGCAATCTGCCTAAAGAGAAATCAATGAAACAAATTAATCCTTCGCAGGCTGCAATGACACAGTAATCCATCATTCAGAGTTGCTTTTATATACCAAATCAGAGAGCAGAGGAAAGAGCCCTGGGGGACATCACAGACAACAACTTACACCAACACTGGGAAAATACTGAGGAATCAGTTTATTTAAAGAGGATAGATTTCAGTTGATTGCCTATTTCATCAAATAAAGATTTTTCTTCCACAGTGTGGTGAACCCAAGGGCCAATGACTATATCTTCAGAATTCAGTACCATGCATGCTGGCTAACATCAATAAGGGATGAATGTTTTTAAATAATTAGCATCGTTAATCAGTATGGTCAAATATCTGGCTAGAGTAAATATTACTTTTTCCATCCAACTTCCAGGTGTTATACACATTCCCTGTTTTCAGTAGGGACTAACTGTAAATTTACCTACTGAACAGTTCCTGGTAAACCACATTTGAGGTATTTCTTCACACATAAAATTCAAGATATACGTAACTTTCTCAGTGCTGTGTTAACTTTAAAGACTGGAAAATTTTAATTTTACCTCTTGTGGCGTAAATTCCAACAAGCAAATCAGATTATAAAGGAATAACTTATTTTAAAATGATAAATAGTTCTTTGACTTACAGTTGACAGTGCTGAAAGTAAAATTAAATGTGGTTTCCTTTTTAAAAATAAACTGTTATAATCAATGTACAGCAGTATCTTCACACAAAGTATATTTATTTATACTTACACAAAATCCTACGCATCAAAATTTATTTATGCTTATATAGAAATGTATGCACCTGAGTATGTCTTACTAGAGTAATACATTCTAAGTGGAAGTATATTCCCTAGATAAAAATTAATGACAAAAACTATAAAAGTCACAGTGTATTATTATTGTTAAATGCATGCATCATTTTCACAGTTAAATGTGGGGACTTAGTAAAATAAAAGGATTTTTCAAGAACAAAAAAACTTGTCACAATGGTCCTTGAAATGTTAAAACTCTAGAATATCTAATCACAGATTAAATAAATACTAACTAGTCAATTTTTGAGGGGCATCTTCAATTCTGAGGTCCATGGCCATATGATCACAATTCCTGCATATGCCGACGCATTTTTAATACAATGTATGGATCTAGTACTTATTGATTTAATAAGGTTAGGGGAATTACATTGTTGCTGCTACTGATGAACTGTCAGCAATTTAATCTAGTGAAATCTTTCACAGAAATATATATTTTAGGGGAGAAAGAGA